TGGGAGCGGGGGTGTTGGGGTCTGTGTGGCGGCGTCGCTTCCTGCAGATACCGAGTTAATGTGTAACCGTCAGACACCGTGTGTGTGTGTCTTGCGCAAGCGGCGGAGCGCTCCCGAGGACCCGAAAGGCTCCTGGCGGGTCCAGCTTTCAGCCCGCATTTGTCCTGATGAATTCGGTCACGGCCCGAGGTGGGGTTTGTCTTCCTGGCCTGAAGTTTCTGCTTTCTCACTTTACAGTATGAAAACCCCTGGACGATCCCAAATATACTGTCAATGGCAAGAATGGGTTTGGCACCAGTTTTGGGCTATTTGATTGTTGAAGAAAACTTCAATGTCGCACTAGGTGTCTTCGTTTTGGCTGGCGTAACGGATCTGGTACGTTTGTGTCCGTTTGGAAATACTTTGAGGATAGAGCAGGTTATGATAATCCCATTGTCACACACTGGAATTTAGTCTCCCGTGTAGGGTGGGAATGGATAAAACAAATCAGTTTTTATATTCGCCACTTTCTAGACATGCAATATATAACCTTTGCAATATTGCGGAGGAACTCGGAGATGCCCAAAGGAGACGTACTGCTGGTGGAGCAAGAGGGATATCTTCCCTGACTAGCCCCGCGTGGGCGTTATCTGATAAGTGCTGATGCCTGTGGTCGTCTGTTAACGTGTGCAGGTGTACCCGGTGCACCTATCATGGCAATCATTGTGTGAATTTTAGAACGTCAGTTACCTTTTCCTTTTTTTTTTTTTTTTTAATAATGAGAATTGTATATGTTCAAAGCCTTCCAGAATCTGGAATGCAATGTGAAAAAAGCGTGATACAAATATCAGCTAACAGGTATCATATTTCACGTTAGTTAAACTAGCTCTTTTATGTGATGTTGTTTGAAACGCCCCTCCAACGATAACGTATGTAAGCTTTTTCTGTTCTTAGTTTTCTAACAGAGAGACACTGAACTTTGTTTTTCCTAGTTGGATGGATTTATTGCACGAAACTGGGCTAATCAGAAATCAGCTTTGGGAAGTGCTCTCGATCCTCTGGCTGATAAAATTCTCATCAGCGTGCTCTACGTAAGCCTAACCTGTGCGAATCTTATCCCAGGTGAGAAAATGCCGATTGCACGTACTGTATAAGGTAAAGAAGCTAATTTTATGTGTAGTAATATTTCTTGTGTTTCTGGAAGGAAAACTGCCTATCCCTCGAAATTCTTGCTTTGTCAGTTGCACTGTGCTATTTGCTCCCATTAAATACTTAAATCATTCCCCCACCGCCAGTCGACCTCACAGAAAACATGTGCTAACATATACAAAAAACACTAGCATGGACTGCCATTTTTAAATGAATTTTCTTTAAAGCAGTGATAGTTAGTAGTTATATCAGAAATTTTCTTGTAGACTGATTTGTTTTAAGACTTCAGGTTAAACTCTTGTAGAAGTCATGTTAAAAATCTTCAGTCATGCATGGAACTTGGTCAGACGAGTTTGAGAGTGGTTATTCTTGCTTCACATTTTTTGCTCTTTTGGTTTTCTTATGGATCTGATTTTTCACTAGATCCTGTTGGCTTGGTTTTTCAGTTTCACTTACTGCCATGATTATTATGAGGGATGTAGCGCTCATTGCTGCTGTTTTTTATGTGCGATACAAAACTCTTTCTCCACCGGTAAGTGTATAGCATTAAACAAAATTGTATGAACATGTAGTCATTTTATTTTTATTAAATCTATTGAATTTTCACAAGTATAAAAAAGTGAATAAGCCTTTAATAAAGTTGTAACTAAAAGATTTTCATCTTGAGACTTGATGGTTGCTCAAAACTTGGGTGGATAGCCTGAGATGTAATGCTGTGCTTGTTCTTTTGCCAGATAGATAGGTAAGCAGAACAGTATTTCATGAAGTAGGCCTTACAAAGATAAGTCAGAGCTATTGATAGCTTTTTGCCTTGTGTGTGGAGTGTAACGGGTCATACAAGAGCAGTAGCAGTGTAATTCTTTAGTGCTACAGTTGACTTTTCTTCTGTGTCACATGAAGAGGTATAGCAAACCCAATATGGTAAATAGCCTTTTTTTCTTTTTTCTTCCCCAACAGAGAACACTCAGTAGATATTTTAACCCTTGTTATGCTACTGCCCAGTTAAAGCCAACATTCATTAGCAAGGTAAGAGTAGTAACTCTTCACAAAAGATATCTGCTCCGTACTTGGGGTGGTGTATAGTTTGGAGGTAGTGGGCTCTTTACTACTACTGTTAAGTGCAGTTTCAAAATAATGCCAACTGGTTTGGACGCAACTTAAATCCTGAGAGATTTTCAACTCTACTCTGTCAGAGCATATGCTAATTTCAAGTAGGTCAGGTGCTTCATTAATAACAGTTTCTAGATACGTTTTCTGTATATAGGCTAATACTTAAACCAGTAATAAAAGTGTATATTGGTATTGCTTGCATAGTACATGTCTTTGTTTTGGTCACCTTTTCTATTTTGCTTTTATCAGATGAATACAGCAGTTCAGCTAATCTTGGTGGCAGCTTCTTTAGCAGCTCCTGTTTTCAATTATGTGGACAGCATATACCTGCAGACATTATGGTAACTTATCTCTTCACTTTTTTTCAGATAATTTAATGTACTCTAAAGAAACTGATAATTGAGATTAATTGTGTGGAACAAAAAACCCCTGTCTCTGGATTATGTAATAGATGCATGTGCTTGAATTTTTACACATTTACTCTTAACTGACAGAGGAACTAGATATTTATTGGTACTTAATTTACTATATAAGCCAAAAGTAGTCAGATGAAACTAGTTAAGACCCAGGAACAACAGCTAAGAACCAAGTCTTCAGAGTAGTCGTGGGGTACGCAGGCAAAGTGTAAATTCAGATTAATAGAAGCAAGTAGGAAGAAACGCTCTGTAGCTTGTTGATGTATCTGTGCTGTTAATGTTCTTGAAGAAGCAGTCTTGATATCAGTAAAAGTAGGGGGCAACTGTTCTCTTACTTTTGCTTTATACTATACTTGCCATCTTGAAATCTGGGTTTTTGAAGCCTCTTTGAAAAGCACGTGATGAAATTGGTGATTCCTGCCAGGAAATAGGAGGGAAGGGGTTGAATGAAAATGGGCATACAGGAGCACACCTCCTTAAATAGTGGCTGTTCCTTTTGCTGCTGTCACCGGAGATCCGGGCTGTATCTGAATCCGAGTTGTAGCTGACAGCAGGTGTCACAACTGCCTGACTTCGGAACGGTTGGGTAGGAGTTCAGAACAAAGAGGCCGAACAGCAGATAGCAGGATCACTTGGTAACTTAGTTTAACGTAGTGGAACTTGTCTTCTAGAAAAACAACAACAACAACCACACACCCCAAAGCTTTTCAGGAGTTAGGAGCCTTAACATTGCTAGTCCATGTGGTTTTTCTTCCTCTTGGAAATGCAAATCTAGAACTGCATCTGTGAAAGGTCCTAGATGGTTTGAATGCTCCCGTGTCATACCACCAAAGGATACTTTCCGACATCGGTCCTCGAGCTGGTGAAACTTATTTAGGGTGCAAATACTGAAATAGATCTCTTTTTCTTCCCTCCTCTAAAACAAGTGCTAATATGGTAAAAAGTCAGCCTAGTATGCGATTACACTGAAGCTTGCTACTTAGCGCTGGATCGCAGTGCCTTTGTTTATCTTCCAGTAAGCACTGAATGTAAGTGCATATAAACTAAATGTAGAGTGCAGTTCTGTAGGACATAGTTCTTGACTGTGTAGTGAAAAATAGGGAAGACTCTTAAAAATGACGCTTTTTATTATCATACATGGACTGAAAGGACTTACTGGAACTATTTTCCCCAAAGGTGCATCACAGCTTTCACCACGGTAACATCTGCGTACAGCTATTACCACTATGGCCGAAAAACGGTTCAGGTGATAAAAACCAAATGAAGTGTTACTGGAAGGACCAGGTCTTGGCAGCGTGGTGTGCTGTAGTGCTGAAGACGGTTGTGTTGCAGCTGAGTTTTGCATCAAGAACTCTGCTTTTTTCTGCTTAAACCATGGCATCACAATGAAGTGAAGTTTGAACATGTGTATATAGAGAGAGACTTTTCAATGTATTTTTAATTTGTTTAAAACTAACGTTGTTTACAAAAACAAATAAATAGTATTCTTAAAGACACGGATTACTGGTTGCTGCCACGTGCATTCTGAGTAACTTTATATTGTTTCTGAAGTCAAAATACACACTTTTCACCAGCATTTTCTGCCATCTTTGTGCAAGGCACTGAGGAGGCTGAGATCTGAGAGGAAAAAGCAGTTGTAAGAACAAATTTGTCTTTATACCTTGACCTAAGTCAGTAAACCAGCATGGCTCATTAGGACACAATGACGTGCATTAGCTTGCAGCAGAAGAAAGCATGTCAGCGAGGAACGGTATCTTCAGAAATCTAAACCAGACTGATAGAAATTATAGTTTGTGTTCTGTGGTGATACAGATAAGCCATGAAGAGTTACTGCCATGCTCCCTTTTTGTTTCCAGGTGTGAGCAACAGTAATTGTTCTTGTTACAGAATAGTTCTGAATTTCAGAAGGGTCAACTGTGCAGTGAAGACTGCACCAAAATGGAGTTATGTTTTAAATCCTATGTATTTATTTGTAGTGATTGAAAGAAACTCCTGTATCTCTAGATCTTTATCTCCAGATGCCATGTAATGTAGATACCATGGGAAAAAAAAGACATTTTACGTATTGTCCAAGTGAATGGAGACAGCGGAAGAAAGTTTTACATTCACATGCTATTAATTCTTCCTGTACCTCTGCCTTCAAGAGGTGTGTGCTGTGATCGCTCTCAGACCAGGACAGCTTGCAAGGTTCTTTGCCTGTTCTCTGCTTACAGAAAGATGCAGAATAAAGTACTAGGCAAAACAGATCATGTTGTTCGGAAACAGGTTTTGTATTTTCGAGCAACATGGTGTTTCTTGTATGTCATAAAAAGGAGTGCAACCATAAAGGGCTTCAGTAATTGAAATCAGGTGGGAAATTGTACCACTGTGTTATTAGCAGAAGAAAATTTGTTGTACACGTCTCCTTGGAGAGCGTACAGTCTCTTTTGTGACTGCGTATGCTTGTAGTGTATGTACAAAGCGTTTTAGTATTTTTTATTTAAACTTGTATAGAATGGTGCAGAGAGAAAACACTTGATTTTTTTTTTATTAGTATCTTCTTCTTAACTGTCCCTGTGTTTGTGGTCTACCCTGCCTCTCACTGCAGAGGGACGGAGAGTGAAGCCTATAGATGTTCCCTTGAAATATCTGGAGGATTTAGTAAGACAGAATAGTTTTCCTTGAGGAAACATTTATTGTACCCACTCAGGTCTTCCTGTGTGGTTCTGGTTAGTAGGCCTGGGCCTTGTTTGGGGGGTGGGGGTGATGGCGGTGTTTGGCGTTTGTTTGTGTTTTGTTTTGTTTTTGTCGATCTTTCCCCACAGGTCCCTTTGAAGCACCGCATGCAGCCCTCAGGGGGTGGAAGCACACCGTGCTGGCGCTTATCGTGACGCTTGTC